TTTTTAGCTATTGATATTTCAAGTAGTAATGAACACATTTCAATGAAACATGGTACATAGTTACTTGAGAACTGTGCAGAGACTAATTAGTTTTTGGAGAAATATTTGTGCATATTAATCACTTATTAGCATAATTAGTTAATTTTCAGCCCGTCACGTGATATCTCAAGTACTAATCATCACATTTCAATGAGACTTGCGACATAGATCTTCTAGGACTATGCAGAGACTTGATTAATTTTAGGATAAATTATTGTGCATATTAACTACTAATTTGCTTAATTAGTTAATTTGTCCTAAGAACCACTCATTGAATTTTAATGAAACTTTTAAAGAGTGCTCATCACATTTCAATGAACCTACATGTGTAGGACTATACACCATATTAGTTTTGGTAAATATTTATGCTTCTTAATCACCTAATTAACATAATTAACATAATTAATTAATTAATACTGATATCTCAAGTATTGATCATCACATTTGAATAAAACTTGGTACATAAATGCTCTAGGACAATAGACAGCCTGATTAATTTTGGGTTAAAATCTGTTCATATTAATTCTCTTAATTAGCACAATAATTTTTTGGTTCTAATCACATTTCAATGAAACTTGGTACATAGATATTACATTACGCAGATCTTATTACTTTTACATTGCGCAGACCTTATTAGTTTTACACTTAAATGTGTTCATATTAGTTACCTTATTTGCATAATTAGTTTTCTGCATTTCCATCAATATCTCAAGTTCAAGTAATTTTTAATTAATTTTTAATGTGTCTCCAATACTCTCAGCACACGGGAGTTCTTTCTAAGCTTTCTTTGATTAATTTTTAATCTATGCAATACAGAATCAAGTTATAACAATAATGTTATGACTACAGCCTATACATTTAAAGAGCACCTATACTGCTATGAGGTTGAATTAGTTTGAACACTTCATCTATAGTTGTAACCATATAACCTTACGTAATAGTCCTTGCTCTCCCATTTTCTACACTGAACAAATTTGCAAATTATGTTTGTTAAGTGTAGTTGGAGGGAAGTTGTTGTTAGATTAAAATGTCACCCTTCTATAGTTTACATCACATAAAAACAAAACAGCGTAAAAACTCTAAAATTTCACCTACTCTAAAAATTTGCTCGCCTTGTTATTATTGGGCGAATTTTTGTAATTTATTGACCTTCTAAATTTAGACCTCACCGGAAATTGCTCACTTATTTTTACTCAAAAAATCTGTTTAGAGACATGACTTTCTATGACTATTCTATTTCTGCAACTGTATATAACCCAACTTTTATATTTGTAAAATTTTTTGATCTAAAAAATCGACTGGTCGAAAATTTATTGTTATCTTGTATTCTAAAAACCTGACTGTTTTTCAAAAAAAATTAATTAAAAGTGGTCGAAATTGTAGAGAATAAACATTAAGTCCAAATCTGTAACTCTTGTTTCTACTGTCATTTCTTATAGTCAAAGGACAAGAAGACAATGAGTAAGTATTATATTACTAGTGATATAGACTTAGTAGCAATTTTAGTTAATGTGCATGCTTCAAATTTGGAAACTATGATGAGACAATAATGTACTTATAAATCATTGAGTAGAATATGTTTGGTGTGAGTTAAATGGGTAACTTTTAATATGTTGTATTTTGTTTGTGTTTGAGTGTTGGTGTGAGTTAAGGGGTAACTTGCACAATTATGGGGAGGGGGTGTTACATGGACCTTGTGAAGTGTTAATTAATCCACCTCTCTGGTGACTAATCAGGTTCACATGGAAGATTTTGATTTTAAGAATTATAGAAATATATAACTTGGGAATAAATTATACATGTTCACTCATAGGTTTATACATTGTCTGAGATGCGTATTCCTGCCATCCATCGTTACTTCATAAATATTGTTTTGTGTTTGTTGGAATTTACTAGATTTACTTGATTGACATTGTTATATATTGTCTTAATTCAGATCTATGCCAGCAGGTCCACCACAATCACCAAAGGAAAACAACTCTGTTGCACCCAGTGTGACGTCCAGCAGAGACAACCTGTCATTCAACAGTTTTTCAGGTCAAAGCTCTGGGACTCCATTCTTTGATGATACACCAAGATTTGATGAGATATTGTCTAGTCTCGCTACAACACCCAGATGTGAGAGTAGTAGAATGGAAAATGTCACTGAGACAACAAGCAGTGAAGAGAAAGGACCAGAGGGAATGAGTGACAACGTAACAAGCAGTGAAGAGAAAGGACCAGAGGGAATGAGTGACAACGTAACAAGCAGTGAAGAGAAAGGACCAGAGGGAATGAGTGACAACGTAACAAGCAGTGAAGAGAAAAGACCAGAGGGAATGAGTGACAACGTAACAAGCAGTGAAGAGAAAAGACCTGAGGAAAAGAGTGACAATGAAATCATAACAAATTTGGATGAAAATAAGACCACTGAAAAGTCACCTCAGATTACAATAGCGGATGATATAACTATGATGACTGAACCAGATAAACAAGAATCAGAAAATATCAAACTTATGTCTGGAGGTTTACCTCTGAGTACTTCCAATGATGATGTAACAAAACAGAGTGAGCAAGATGAGGGAGAAACCGCAAAAATCAAAATTATGCAAGCAACTGACAGATTGAAAGCAGATGATAGGGGGAGGAAAGAAAATGATGATCAACAAACAAACAAATCATTGACAGAAAACTTTGAAACTGATGAAAACAAAAGGAATATTGATAACAATGAGGAAAGACGTAACAATCAAACATTTGAAGGTACCCAGCAGCCCCCTTGCAGATAGGGTTATGTTTTTTTTGTGCATGCCATTTCACTGATAATCATTCCAATTAACATAAATTTACATGTTTTTTCATAATCCTACTACCGGTAATCGTATCATACCAATCTTCAAACTCCAAATCAATTTTTTTTTTTTAATGATCATTTATATAATTTCTATAAAAGAAAATAACACTCACTTCAACTTTTTTTTATTCATGTTTGACTAATAATTTTGATAAATCTCATTTTGTTTTATCCATCGTTGCATTGTTTCCATGGCACTATTATTTGTTCATTTGTGTTTGTGTTTATAATTTTTGCATGTGCACTATTTCACTTCGCCATTCCCCTCACCATTAACTGCAACCATCCTCACAATTCAAAGCACTACCTTCCAAAACTAGTTTGAGACCCCCCCCCCCCAAAAAAAAAAAAATTTCAAGAGGATGCTGATGGTAAAAGTGAGGACCTTATATAAAAGATGCTCTGGTTGTCATAGGGTACTGTAGTGATGACAATGATGTTACCATGGTGATATATGATGAAGATGGACCTATGCATTTGAGTGGTCATCCAGTGTCATTCAATCATCATTCAGGTAAAGATTCTTATTGTTTAAATAGTTTCCATGCTTACCATGATTTTAATCTAATTTTGTGTTTGTGGTATTTTAGATTAGAGTTGTTAATGCCTGTCTGTTGTTTGTCTGTTTATCTGTTTTTAACAACCATATTTGATCTCAAAAATCCCATTCCTGTTTGCTTGATCAATATGCATGCTTATAAATAAGTTTCCACAGATCAGCAAAGTGTACGATTGATGGTAGTGGGGTCTTAGGTGACAGTTTTTTATAAAATAATATTGATGGTGGTCCCCTTTTCACCTCTTACATGGGGTAAGTACATGATTGATGTTAGTGAGCCCTCCTGTGGTGAATTTCTGTTAATGTTATCAACAATGGCCATTTGTTAATTCTGAGGTCAAGTAATAAAACATTGATATCTATAGAAGAAGCAATGCATCACCAAATACAATAATGGCTAATAAATCCTATGCTCTTAAAATAGTTCTGTAACTATAGCAATATCAGGGATAATACATGCACAACTAATATGTGTAGTTTTGAACAGCAAAAGCAATTCATTTTCATTAACTGATATCACATTGAACTCCCAAATTATCTAAGTCTCATCCCAGTTTAATGCTCCAGTATATGTTTAAGTTACATAATTACTGTCTATATGATCAGTTATATGACATGGATTATTTTGATGACACTCCTTGATGTCAATATAATTAGCCTTGATTAAAGTTGTAAACTTTTATCATTGTTATGCAATCCTACACCCAAGATTTACATGTAGTGTTGCTTATGCAAGGGTTACATGCAGTGCATTATTCTTGGTCATGCAAGCAGATAATAACCCATACCTAGAACATTCCTAAATCTTTATTATTAAACACTGTTCTCTCATCATGAATTTTGGTGCACCAAGTTGTGCATTTTTTTATAATTTTTTTGTTTAATTTTGAACCAACTAGACATAATTTAGACACAATTAGACTGTGAAAAATATGGGGAAAAAATTCAGGTTTATTTTTTAGTAAGGCGACAAAAGTTAATTTTGGTGCTCAAACAACAGTCAACAATTTTCTGTTTTTGTTATGGTTCATTGTCTAATTGTGAATTACTCTGTTATATGAATGAATCATGGTTTAATGACAGCCCCATAAATATAATTGGCTTGGCCCTAATTGTTGTTAAGCAACCTTCCAGTAGTTGTACAAACAAAAATCTGCCAGTTGATCCAAGGGGACTTCGCAGTATAATTGTACATTGATACAATGTCTGGCATGTCTGTATTGTCTTTTACTGAGGAATTCAACTGGGGGTTTCTTGGTAAGTTACTTTTAATTTGAGTAGTTTCTACTTTGAGTCAATAATAACAGCCTAGTGTTGTAGTAATTTGGAGGTATGTGTTTTAGATTTCTACTGTATACCATGCAGTACAAAGTACTTTGGTTAGCACATACTGTGTTTGATTCACTGTTATGCTGTCAATATGATAATTACTGGGATAGTAGTTACATTTCATATATGGTTTCTATAGTACTTCAGAAAAACATTTGTTAATAAAATAACAACCATACCATGTGTTCATATCATGATGTGTATATGTCTAAACAAATACAATAACTTCAGAAACTTGATACAACTTATTTTGATCATTCCAACCTAGATGTGCAGTGAAGTAAAGATACTACAGCAATACATACTTTTAATGCTATTCATGATTCAGGTGTTATTCACATCGATTGCTATTGTCTGTGTATTGGGTGAATTCTTTTATAACCCACTTCTTTGATTTAGTTCTGTAACCCTATATATTTATAAAACAGTATTCAGATATATTTCAGTAAAATCGATGCCTTACTTTGTTTGCATGATTACTGAATTTTTTATTCTATGACTAAGTTATAACATTATAATTTCCTGCTCTTTGATCAGTTTACATGAAATGTAATTTTTAAATATTTCAATGTAATTCTATAAAGTAAGCTACTGGTCTGTAATAATACATGTGCATGTTTCTTCCTAATATCCTGACTGAATGGAAAACTGCCAAGAATTTAGCTTTTCATAACCCCTGTGTTACCAGTGTTTAAAATCTTTCTGGTTTTACTTTATTTGCAAACTGTTCAAAATATGAGTGATAAAATTAAATTCTATAAAAATAAATTTGAAAATTCACCATATCCAAAATATGAATATATTGTTCTAGACCTTTTATTCCAGTATTGAACATTATATTACATCTTAAACTCAAGCTGAAATGAACAATTGTTGTTTTTTTGTCTTACCCAATTTCCTTTCTACTTCAATTACTGTAAAATATATTTTAAGCTAGAATTAATTTTCACTGAAAAGACTTTTTAGGTGTTTTGTATGGAATTTATTTTCACTGATTTTTGACAAGTAGAATGTAAAATATAGGAACAAAGGTATATTCACTGGATTTTATTTTCACTGAATCATTCCTTCAGTGAAAATAGCAAAAAATTAATTCCAAGTATAGAAGTGCATATCAATCAAAATAATATACCGGTAATCACTAAAAAAAAAGTTTCACATGCAAGGTTTTTTGTAGATGAATTAATATAAAAGCAAACAAAGTTTGTAAACTTCATTTGCTGCTAATTAATAACTTAAATAGAATATACAGTATAAAAATATTTGAAAGTTGATATGAAAACAATAACAAATTAAAGCTGCAATCGGCGTCACCGTGGCCCAAGCTTTCAAGCATGTATATTCCATAAATAATGAGGTCACTAAATTCCTATTAGGGTGGTTTTAATGATCTGTATGATGAGGTCAAAATAACATGCAGTTGGTGTATGTATTTACCTGTTTTGGTTATCAAAATATGCTTTTGAGAATAAGAATGAGCCATGTGGTAATTAATGTCTATTAATGAGGTTACATAATCATATATGGTATTCTCTTATGTCAGTTACATCTTTTGTTTGATGCATTCATTATATCACTGGTTGCATGTCTCGTTCTGCAATAGTGTTACAGATATGACAGTTATGCATATTAATGAGTTCACATGACCATATATGGTCATCTGTTATTTTTTAATCATAATTCAGAAGGTTTTATCTTCCAAGATGCAACAGTGCTTAAGATATAGCAGTTATGCATACATGTATTAATTAAGTTAGAAGTCCCACCCCATAGGCGCGAAGCCACATGACCTAGCTATATGCCATTCAGATGAAATAATGTATCTAAAGAGTAGAATACATGTACACAATTTTATTCCAATCGGACCAATACAACACATGTAATTGAACAATTTCTGTTTGCACAATATCCAAGATGGCGGCCAAATCATGTGACTGATCAAATTATATTATTTTTCTAATTATTTATAAAAACATCTAGTAGATTGGTTGAAGCATCTTTAAGAAACAAATGCCCAAACATTTGGTTATTTTTACCTATTTTTTATCAAAGATGGCGGCCAAACCACGTGACTGATCAAAACTATATATTATTTGTTTCAAATGGAACAATGGTCAAACATGATATATACAACGTATCTAGTTGATCAGTTGAAGCACCACTAAGAAACAAATGCCCAAACTTTTGGTCAATTTTGCCTAAAATCCAAGATGGCGGCCAAACCATGTGACTGATCTGAAATCTTTTTTAGCTTTCTGAAAGGGTTTTATATAGAGATGCCATGCAGCAATATTAAAGATAATCCCTCAAGTGTGGCATGAGTAAAAAACTACTTCCTGTTTAGAAGATATTCCAAAATGGTGGCCAAACCATGTGACCAATCATAATAAATTTTCAAACATAAATGGGTTTCATAAATAGAAGCTAAGTACTAAATATGAGAACATTGTGTTTTTTGTCGTTTTTTAGGAAAAACAAAAAGTCACATGACCGCTAAAGTTTTTATTGCTGATGTCTATTACATATGAGTTGTACTATATACCATAAAAAAATCTATACGCCTCTCAGAAAGTGGTCAAACAGCCACTTCCCGGTTTTATTTCAATCCAATATGGCTGCCAAACTAATTGACCAATCAAAATTCTGAAAGCATGTTGCACCAGTTCACATAAGGGGCTATCATTATAGAGAATTTTCAGACTATTCTGTTCAGCGGTTTTTCTCTAACGGCTTGACGAAAAAAATTATGGAAGCAAGAAAGAAGAAAAAAAAATGGCTTGGGCCCCTAGTAAGAAAAAAAAAACATGTAGATAAAATTGAACAATTGTATGAACACATACTATGCAGAAAATAAAATAGACAGTGCAATTTAAAAAAGCTATTCTGGTCTCTGTATGCATTGTGTGGTTTTGTTCACACTGGGAAACTATTTAGTAGTGTTTATACAGCATAGGTAGCCTGTATAAACAGCAATACCTCCATTAGGTCTGATGACGGACTACATGCTTTATGCTCTATGTATTAAATTTAGCACTGATGTCAATATAATCTATATTCTCCTGGTACATGTATGTAACAAACTACAGTAATACTGTGCACAGTGATTATGAAAAATTACATAACAATGTACATCATTCTTTTTGAACCTTTCAGGTAAACAGGAAATAAAATAATTTTGGTAGTGATGTTGAAATGTGTTAAGAGGTATTAAATTTAGGTTGTAAACGTTATGCACATATTTTTTGAATCATTATTCTATTTGTCTCTAAATACCCATGTTTGATTCATTGAGTTACTGATGCTGTTTCAATCTATTACTCCTGAGATGGGTATAATTTTCCAGTTGAGCTGGTAAAAATGAAAACTTAGATTGTGAAACAACAAATTTTTAACAGTCTATGTTAGGAACTTACATCATATTGATAAATAACATTAATTAAAAACATTATACAAATAAATTTCTATGCTATGTTTACACAAATAATTGCCATACAATAACAAAAGAAAAAATAATCCTCAAACCATATAACCTTTTTTTCTTGATGGCCACAAAAAAAAAAACACATTGCAGGTTTAATATATACTTGTGCATGTATTCAAATTTATTTTATCTAAATCAGTGAAAA